CTTGGTTCCACCTTGCTGTCCTGCTTGGCTTCCCTTCTCTGTCCTGGCCTTCAGCCCCTTCACCCTGAGCACATCCTTTGTGACTCCTGGAGCCCTCCCCCTGCTTTTTTTTAACCTCTTCTTTCTTACCCTTGTATCTCACCAGCTATCAGGGTGAGGAAGAGGAGGTGCAACTTTACTACAAGGTGTTTTCTTCTACTCGGCATGGCTTCCTAGGGGCAGGGGGGGTGTCCCAGCCACTGTCTCATGTGTGGGCAGCTGTGAGTGACCCCACCCTGTGGCCCCTATATCACAAGCCCATCCAGACAGCAAGGCTGCATCAGCGGGTGACCAACAGCATCAACCTGGGTGAGCCCAGGGAACGAAGGCATCCATGGGGCTTGTTTCAGTGTGTTCAGTGGGCTGTGGCAAGTGGGCAGAGGTAGAGGGCTGAAGGCTGCCCTCAGGGGAGGCCAGACACTCAGAGCTCCTCCAGATGGCTCAGCCTGTCTAGCTGGGTGAAGTGATAGGGTGCTCGGGGTGGTTCTGGGGCCAGGAAGGGTCCAGGACAAAGTCTGTCCACAGGCCTCTTGACTCTCTTCCTCTGCTCCTCCAGTGTACTTGGTGTGTGATACCACCCTGTGTGCATTGAAGCAGCCACGGGATTTCTGTTGTGTCTGCGTAGAAGCCAAAGAGGTGCCTGCCTTACTGGTGGTAAAGATGTTGTGGGAAGAATTTGGGCTAGTGTCAGGAGAAGCCATCTCTGTGGGCGTCAAGTCCCCTGGAGAAGGAGGGAAAACTGGGCTGGGGCAGGAGTTGGGAGGCTGAGGCCGACTATGTTGCCTTCCACTGTACTGATGCACTGGAGCCTGCTCTGTTTAACCCACATCTAATAACAGAACTCCTATCTCTCCCTGTCCCTAGGGGCAACTGTCTATCATGGCAGCCCAATCTGTGTATGACACATCCATGCCAAGACCCAGCAGAGAAATGGTCCGAGGGGAGATCCTGCCCAGTGCCTGGATCCTGCAGCCTGTCACCCTGGAGGGGAAGGAAATCACCAGAGTCATCTACTTGGCCCAGGTGATTCACCCCTGCAGCTGGCACAACACGCCTTGATCTGACACCACAGCCTCCTGGGATTTTCCTGTCCAGCTCCTCAGCCTCCTTCCTTTGGGCTGATAGCTGGAGGCTCAAGGGCTTCTTGGGTTCACAGTATGAGGAGTCAGTGGTGGTGGGGGCAAGAGGGAAGAATGAGACAGACTTCATCAACCTTTTTGGTAGTTGCTGTTACTAGAGACCTGGCGAGCACCTGATGGCCAATCCCAGGGTCCTCAGGTGCTCGATGACTTTGTAAGGCAAAGGCAGCAGCCACAACAGAGCAGAAAGGTTACCCATCTTGTTCTGCTCTTGTTCCACTCTCAGGCCCCTGGCATGAACTTTATCACTGGTAGGTGATAAAGTTCAGGTGCACAGGCCTGAACAGGAGGGCCTGAGGACCATAGAGTCTGAGGTGCTTTTTGCTTTACCACAGCCTAGGGAGCTAAAATGTGTTTGCTTACAACTTTAACTCTTCCCTCTCTGCCTGCAGGTAGAACTTGGTGCTCCAGGCTTCCCGCCTCAGCTCCTGAGCTCCTTTGTCAAACAGCAGCCACTAGTTATAGCCAGACTAGCTTCCTTCCTTGGTAGTTAGCATCTCGCCCATCAAGATGATGCTGCTAAAATGCAGGCCCAGGGTGCTTCAGAGAGATGCTGTGGCAGTTCTGTTTCGCTCTGCAACCTGATAGGAGAGCCTGGGCTACCTGCTGTGGCTGATGGGCAGACAGCACCAGCCCAGGGTTGCCAGCACACACAGCGGGCATCACTACAATCAAGTGGCCTGAGCTCCTGGCTGTCCAGAGTGAATGAAGTTCAACTCACCTTTTGGATTCCCCACCTTATTTCCCATCTCTGGAACTCTACTGCAGATGAGCCACTCAAGGACCAAGACTGGGCATGGCCAGCAGAGTGGGGGCTGCAGTGACTGGGCAAGAGGTTTCCTTAGCTTGGCCCCATTAGGCTGACAGGGATGCCAGTGGCCAAGACTCTGCTCAGAATCCATGCTAGCACTTAGCTCTGCTGTATGATGGAGTGTTAGAAATACTAAGACAAGGGTTTTAAAATGCACAAACCAGAACATCGGTTCAGAATCTTTTCTCTCTCTTGAATGTCTGTAAAATGCTTTATTCACTTTTGCTTCTCCCCAGCCCACTTTTCTTCCCCTCCCAGGAAAGAATATTTGGGCCTTCACATGAGTCAGGAGTGTTGAGCAATGTTCTGGAGCTGGTGCCCTGAGCTCAGTAAGATGAGAGACCCTTGTAGAAGCAGATGGGGCAGATTTGGAGCTAGGGTTGGGGCCTCGCTCTTTGAGGACTTGCTGATGCCAACATCTGGCTGCTGACAAGAATTTCAGAAAATTGACCTTTGAGGATGGGAAGGAAGATAAACGAACTCCTAGAGGAGCAGGTCGCTGAGCACACCGCACTCAGAGGCGTGGTCCTGTCCTCGTCTAGGCTAGGTTGGAGAGTGGATTGTTTTCTTGTACCTTAGCCTGGCTGACCTTGGGCTCTGAATATTCTGTACATTTACATGGAGTAGTAGAGATGGGAGAGACCCATCTTTAGCCCTGGTGCCCTCAGTCTTTGATGGAATAGTGTAACCATGTGGGGAGTGAGAAGATATGGTTTAAAAGTACATTTCTGTACAGTGCAGCAGAGATTTATTTTTCCAAGAGTATTTTCAGGGTGTTTTTCCTCTTACCTCAGATTAAGTTATTTGCATATTATTGATTCAAAGTTTTTAAAACTGCTTTTAACCTTTTTTCAGGTTAATTTTTGGGGTAACATTTATGTACCCCCACCTCTTTTCATATAAATTGCTTAAGACTATTGACCTAAAAGGTCAGAACGTTTGTAAAGTAAAAGTCCTCTGTGTGCTTTTATTTAGTGAAGACTGTCCCTTAGGGATGGCCTGAGTGTGCCATTTGAGTTTAGCAGGATTTAGCCTGGTGATCATGACGGCAATACCTACTCATGACCCAGTTACGTACTCAATTCACATGTATGTACTGAGCACTTCCCATGAGCTTGAAACTGCGTTGCAAGGTAAGTAGCAACTAGATTAGCTGCCCAACTATAGCCCAGATAGGAAAATAAGTTATTGCCACCTCTAACAGTGACCATGGTGCCGAGTTTCCCAAGGCAGAGCTAGTTGCTATGGGAATCTGAATTAATGGAAAACCAGAGGTGGCTTTAACCGCCCTTACTGAAGAAGTCACACACCAGACCTGAGTCAACCATTTAAAGAATATTGAGGCTAATCTTATAGCAAAATGCAAAAGCGAAGTTGACTTTTGGTTTAGATGAGTGGCTCTCAAACTTTAGTGTGTATCAGGATCACCTGAAGGCCTGTTACCCTGAGTGGACCCTACCCTAAGTTACACTCTGTGGGCTGCTGGAGTGCTGGGGGGTGCTGAGTACTTGTATTTCTAAGAAGTTCCAGGTAACCCTGAGGCTAATAGCCTGAGAACTACATTTTTGGGGGCCAGCAGGTGGCGGTGTTTTAGGGCGCTGGACTCCCACATGGCCGACCACAGTTCAAGTTCTGGACCTGGCAGCTTGGTTTTTCATTTTCCCTCTCTCTTTCTCTCTGTCTCTCTCTAGTCAAATTAAAATAAAGTTAAATAAAATAATCCTTAAAAAAAAAAAAAAAAAAAAAAGTTAAAAAAAAAAAACCTTAAAAAAAAAAAAAAAAACAGCTAGTTCAGACAATTAGTAAAGGTAGCTAGAAAGGAACCTGCTTAAATTCACTAGTTCATTAGCTGCCTTCATAATCCTTGAGTAGCCCTTAAGTCTGGAACAAACCAGCAGGGATTTTCACTGGGTCAGTGTTAAGTTGCCATTCAGATTCCCAAGAACGTGGTTTTCAGTGGGCCTTAAGCCAGGCCTGGGTTAGAGCCAGCCCTTCAACTCCAGCTAGGGTGCTTCCCAGCCCTAGCTCTGGGCCACCACAGTCCCCTAGTTTGGCTGCACCAGCTCACAAGCTCTTAGCTGGGATTCTGGCCAGGGAGAGTTGGGATTTTCGAGGAGGGGGCGTCAGGCTTTCTTCTTCATCTGGAACAAGTCAGGAAGTAGCCCCGAGCCAGCTGCCGACCCTCAGCTTCCTGGGGCAGTTCAGTCACACTCAGTGCTGGTCTCAACATAGAAAAATTTCCTTAAACTTTTCTTGTTCCTAGCTTAGAACAATGTGGATTTAAAAGCCTTTGAAGAGAGGAAAAAGGGTTCAGATGCAAAAGCTTGTTAGGAGTTACTTGGATTAGTGGAGGGAAAAGGGAGGCATGAACTGACTGGGTGAGTACTTGGGAGAAGTGGGGTCACAAGGTGGTGATGAGAAACGTTCCTGGTTTTTACTTCCTGTGTGGATGGGGTTTCCTGGCTTGACTATGGTCATACAAATGGATCTTCCCCAGGGAATCTTAACCTTCCTTGGGCCAGAGAGCTCTTTGACAGCTATGAACCTCTCTCCCAAGAAGAGTATGTGTATGTACAAACAAGACTGCTTACTGAGTGCCCTCTACTTGCCCCAGCAGAACCTGGAGCTTGTATCCTCTCCAAACAAAAACGGTGAGTTTTACAGGAATGAGCTTAAAGCACATTATCAAAGTACGCTTTCTTAGAATCAGTGGTTCATTTAGAGATGTGCTTTTAACACAAGTTCTGAGCCAAATCTAACACCCCCAGCCCTAACAAGCATAACAAGGATAGTAAGGATACCCCTACTAGTAGGAGTCTCTTGAGCAACTTTTTCCCACAGATTGTACAGAAGTCAACCATTGGTGATAAATTACTAGCAGACACTGCCTCAGTAACCTAGCTTACTTTGCATTTGCAGCGTGACTGCCACTCCTCATGCAATGCAAAGCCCATCTGAGACTGTACAGCCTGCTAAAGGGAAAAGACTGGTGAAAATAACCAGACATCAGGCCCCCTTAAGAAAAAAGTTTATTTTAAAAAGCTTTAATGTTCTGCCCTGTGCTTGGTCCTTGGAGAGAGAGGGAGTAAATCACTACCTGCACAGAGGAAGCCAGGTTGCAGCTGGGTGAGTCCTACCTTATCCGTTGTGCATATATGAGGAGAGGGTTGTCCAGCTCCTGGTGGCAGGAAAATGTACTCCCAAGGGTCACGTTTTAAATTTTTGTTCACAAATTAAACAGAAGTCATTTGCCTCTGTCATGATTTCCCAGAACCACAAAGTTTTAGGGAATGCTGGGATAGCAGCAAATAGGGCTTGAGTCCTGTGTGTCGACAAGCCCCCACACACCATTTCACTTGGCATCCAAGTGATAAACGCCAGCTCTTCTTCAGACTTCAGTCTCTAGGCTTTTGCACCATAATCCTGAAGCAGGTGGCCTCGTCTTCCTCTAGGACTCTGGTGAGCTTGCAGTCTGTGGATGCCAACAGCACGCACTCCTTCGTGTTTGAGCAGGAACTGACCTGGCGACTCCCACACCGCAAGGGTCGGCAGTGAGCACTTGGGCTAGAGGCCTCTTCCTGAGGCAGAGGCAGGGTTCCGGTGAGATGCCCAACCAGGGCCATTTCCCGGCCCTAGCTCTGGGCCACCACAGTCCCCCGGTTCAGCTGCACCAGCTCACAAGCTCTTAGCTGGAGTTCTGGCCGGTGGGGTTCAGCAAGAAATAGGTTAAACAGTGTTACTAATTCCTCAGAGAAGTCCTGTAATAAGTAGAAAGAGGACAGGAAAGGCAGGCAAATAATTCTGGTCAGTTCATCCTTTCCACTATACTGAAAAGCAATCCCAAACATCGAGCTCTAGCTAACCAGTGGGTAGACAACTGTAGACTTTTCCCAGCACAGAAGCAGGTCTGAAAGCTGGCTTTGAGGCTAGCAGGTGGCGTGGTGGTTAAAAGCACTGGATTCCCACATGGCTGACCATGTTTGAGTCCTGGACCTGGCAGCTTACTTTCTCACTGTTTCTTTATCTCACTCATCAAATTAATTATTAAGGAACAACAACAAAAAGCTGACTTTGTTAGTATTCCAGGTGGCTTCGGTTATGCATGGAGAGTGAACTCTGATGGGAGGCTCAGGCTTTACTCTCTACTGGCGGCTCTACTTCATCTGGAAAATTAATCTCATTTGTGGATGAGGAAACAGATTGCTCCAAATGGTGGTCTCTTAATCTACCTCCCTTTGTGAAATCAGCAATCCACTTGGATTGTGCCCCATCACAAAAACATTAAGTACCAGCTGAAAATAAAACCTGCTTATTCCGATTTTAAAAACCCACACTGGGGCCAGCCGAGTGGTATGGTGGTTTAGGCAGCAGGATCCATGTTTGAGTCCCAGAATTGGCAGTTTAAAAAAATGCTGAGCACGGGACCAGCAGTTAGCGTAATGGCTATGTCGCTGGACTCCCATGTAGTCGACCATGGTTCAAGTCCCAGACCCGGTGGCTTAAACTCACGCCGGGCGCGTGTGCGTACGTGCCCAAGATCCCGAGAGGAGAGTGGGGGGGAGGGGATTGCGGCGTGGCCATCCCCCCTGGGGGGGTGATTTCCTGCTTTCTGTCTCTCTGGCAAGTGCACACGCCCTATAGCAAAAACCTCTCAAAAAAAAAAAAAAAAATGCTGAGCACGTGTATGTACATGTCCAAAATCTCAAGAGGAGAAGGGGTTATGGCATGGTCATCTGCTCTGAAGGAATGATTCTTACTCTTTCCAGTGAGCACATATGCCCTTTCAAACCTGTTTCTGTGCTGGGAAAAGTCCTACAGTTGTTGTCTACCCACTGGCTAGCTAGAGCTCGATGTTTGGGATTGCTTTTCAGCAAAAAAGTCAAACCAACCCACATGCTGAACCATGGTGCTTTTCAACTGCCTCTCCCCTAACACTGTCCCTCAGATCTGAAGACCTGAACAGCCACTTCTCAATTTTAGGGTTGTGCTGAAGACACCTGATAAATTTGCTTGGCTTTAGCCCCATCACTTGCCACTTTCAGGATAAATGGAATATGCCTGCTAGTTTTCCACAACACCAGGAAATGAGGACTCCTTACCCCTGGCCACTGGGCCTCATGGAGGCTGCCCAAGCAGGTCTCTATTTCCATCCGTCCCATCAGCCCCTTCTCTACCAGCTCCCGGAGCAAAAACAGCAGCAGATCCCACTGAAAAACAAACCGGGGAAAGGTCAAGGTTGCTAGATTGCAGTGCCCCTCACTGATATGGTTGAGATTAAAGAAGGGAATCATTTTAATGAACTGGGAAGAGGGAAGAGAAACAGCTCAGAAAATTTGGGGTGCATATTATGACCACTCTTGCCCCACCCTACTCTGCTTCACCTCTCTCGGCCGAGTGTCTGCCAAAAGTCCCACATTTCGTGGACTTAGGAGCAGCTGTAGTGGAACAGGCCCCTGAAAGTCATCCTTCCACAGGGAAAGCAGCATGTGAAGAAGATGTCGGGCCTGCCCTCGTTCCAGCCTGTGTGGGGCTGGAGGCCCCAGGACAGGGATCTGATCTGCAACTACAGGGAGGAGAACCAAATTTTAGTAAGCAGAGGCAGAAGGTTCTAGTCTTGGTTGTACCCAACCCTGAGGTTTGGAGGATTTGATAAAGGAACCATACCAAGGAGGGAAGCCAACTCCACAGAGCACTTTGCCAGATGCTGCTCAGCAGGTGGGCACAGGAACTGGGGGGAAACAGAAGGGAGACCCTAGCCATCAGATCCTCCATACTGTGCCAAAAGGACAGGCCCTACTCATCAAACAAGCACACACACATGGGCATCCTTCAAGTGGTCGGTGCCACATCTCACCTGGCGGCAGCGCAGTGTCTGTCCTAACTGGCCTAGGAGCTGCTCCAGATGCTCTGGGGAAACTCCCTCCTCAGGATCCCGGGGCCCAGCAGCCAGGGAGAGCACATCCTATGGAAAGCAGGGTAGGACTTCATACCAGGCAGGGAAGAGGATGCCACAGAGAATTTGGCGGGGCAGGGATCAACCGGTGGAGAGGCAGAAGGAAAAGGAAAGCAGGGCCCTGGGGGTGCGTGTGTGTGAAATGATAGGCCCTCGACGTGGGCTCAGGTAGCACAGCTTGAAGCAACCATATGGACCACAGAGGACACGGAGGATGCAGATAAGCTGATGGACAGTGTGCCACCAGCCAGCTCCAGCGGTGTCCCTCTACTTGGGACCAAACTACCCAAGTCCCAGAAGGTGTGGTATTCCAGCATTTTAGGGAAAATGTCCTATCAGTCGCGATGTTTTCTACACCCATGTTTTTCTCCTCTTCTCGAGAGGGGAAGTTTCAACATGGAAATCCTCTCTCTATTGACAGCCAGTTTCTAATAGCTGCTAAACCTTTTTCTCTCCCTCATATAGTCTCCATTTTAGTCATTGCTTCTTGATCTTTATTCCAAATCTGTATTCCTTGCCCATTACCCCAGACCAGTGAGAAAATATTTTAGGCTATTTTAACCCATTCATCTCTGTCCTCACTTGTCTCTGCTGTTGTAGCGAAAAAGCCATGGGGGCCAGCAGGTGGTGTGGTGGTTAAGGTGCTGGACTCTCACATGGCTGACCACAGATCAAGTCCCAGACCTGGTGGCTTGCTTTCTCACTTTCCCTTTCTGTCTCTCTCTGATTAAATAAATAAAAAAAATAACAGATACAGTTAAGTAAATAAATGAAAAAAAAAAAAAAAGACAGAAAAGCAGCCACAGACAAGTTGTAAGTGAACTTAATTCACAAAATTAAGTTGCAGGCCCAATTTGGCCAATGGGCTGTTTGCTATCTCCTGTTTGAGTCTCTGAATTTTTTTAAAAGGAAGCTGGGACAGTTAATAGAGTCTACTGCCTATAACCAAACAAGCTGAGATCATTTCTAGACACGGGGTGACTGCCCCCTGGAGACCATCCTGCCACTTCCAACCACGCTCTATGCCTGTGTAATAAGCACTTACTCAAAAATGTCCTATCCACCTTTTCTCCTTTTGAGTGATTCAATTAGGAAAAACATGCAATTTAGCTCTGCCCTTATTCAGAAAAAAAATGAAACAAGAATGAGCTGGACAACACAGAAAGCTTCTACACAAAAATACCAGAGCTGATATTAAAAAAAATAAATAAAAAAGAAGAAACCAGGACCAGAGCAGGGAGAGGGAATAGGGAAGCCAAGGGGAGTAGGGGAGCCGTGTACTTTGATCTCGGAGATGAGGTGGGAGGGGAGGGGAGCGTGGTGCTCACAGGCGCGGGAGCAGCCCCTCCGCTCCCCCCGGGCAGCTGGCTCAGGACCCTGGGCTCGCAGCATGCGGCTCACTGCTGCTTTCACCTCCCTCCTGATCAGTGCTGCGGGTTGGGGGGAGAACAGGAAAGCGGTCACTAGAGCACCATGCACTGGCTCACTGTGCCAACCCACACCCTGCACTGTTTCCATCTAGTGCTAGGTTCCATCTTCCCCAAGCTGCCTCCAACTCCCTCCACGCCACTCCTTGGGCCTTGCCTGTGATGTTGGCTGACAACCAGGCACAGGCTTTCTCTGTTGCAAGCCCCACGGCAATGTTCTCTGCGCTGCTCAGCACCTGCGACACACAACTGCAGGGTCAAGGGCCGCGGAGAACAGGGTACAATGACGGATGCCAGAGTCCAGGACTCTGGGGACTCAGAGAGCACTGTGCACCCTATGGCAGCCTCCCAGGCACATGTTCAATCACACAGGGCACCTCTCCCACCACAGCTGCCCAGCCTGAGGGCTCCTACGTACAGCTGCAGGAGTCTCCTCTGGAAGCAATGCCCGCACGGCCCCAGGGCCCTTCCTCTGGCAGAACCTGAAAGGAGACAAGAAGCCAGTCCTGTCTAGACAGTTGGTTTGGCTCAAGAAGGAAATGCTCGAGTGCCCCAAGTACCTGACCTAGGAGGCTGGACCTTAGTAGGGCACACTGACTGTGCCTGCCCCATCCCAGATGCTGGGGGAGTGAGAAACCCAGCCACCAGCCCTGCAGCATGACCACGTTCCCAACTCCACGTATGAACTTTGTACTACAGAAATTTTAATGCCAAAGATATGAGCCTGCAGAGGAGGGGAGGAGATGAAATAAGGGGAACCAGATGTGGTTCAGGAGTAATGCTACGCTAAGACCATGTGGAAAGGTTCAGGGTTCATGTCCCAAGGCCTCCCTGTGCACATCCAATGCACACATGTGGCCCCCAATGCTGTCTATCGCTCAGGGATGGATTGTGCTGTGAGGACCCTGCTGGGCGTACCTGTCTGTCTCTCATGGAAGAAATGAATCAAGTTTAAAAGAAAAAAAAGAAAGGGAGTTAAGGAAAAGAGATAGAATAAGGGCTTTGAGTGTTAAAGAGAAAAGGACAGAAAAGTGAAAAGTTAAAAGAGGGGAGGAGATGAGAGTCCAGATTGGTGCTTCTTACTCCCGTCCCTGGGTCAATGCCTGGGCCCCATGCGGGCACAGCTGGGAACACAAGCTCTCCAACAGCTGAGCTGGATCTCCCCCTTCCTGTCCTTGTGTCATCAGCTGCTCTTGGAGAAGTAACTCTGCCTGGTGCACCAGATCCGCTACCAGTGTGGCCCTGTAAACAGCAAGGTTTCAGGTAATTAGAAGGCTGAATCAGAAAGGAGCTACAAACTGGGGCTGGCCCTGTGGCCCAGTGGCTAGGAAAGAGAGATCCCACATGGCTGACAGTGAATTTCAAGTCCTAGCCCAAGTGGTTTGAGGGCTACACCAGCCACATGTGTGCTCAAGGTCCTGAGGGGATGGAAGAGTTGAGGAGAGGGGACTGAAGAGTGATCACACCTCACTGAGGGTGCCTTCTCTCTTCTTGTCTCACTGATAAGCACACACCACATATGCCCTCTAGCAAACAAGAGGAGGAAAAAAAGAAAAATTAAAAAAGGGACAGGCAAGCCCCCTAGTTTAGTGGCTAAGAAAGTCAGATCCTACATAGTTGATTACAGTTCAAATCCCAGCCCTGGTTGCTGGAAAAACACACTGGGCATGGATGTGTGCATTGCCTAAAAGCTCAATAGTATGGAGAAGAGATTGCAGCATGACCTCTTCCCGTGGGGGGAGGGGTGTATCTTTCTGTCTCTCTCAAGCAAGTATATGTACCCTCTGGCAACAAGAAAAAAAAAGGAAAAAGAAAAGAAAAATGGGCTAGCCAGTGGCACGGCGGTTAAGTGGCTGGATCCCACAAGTCCGGCCGTGTAGTTTTTTGGACCTGGTGGCTTGAAAAAAAAAGCAGGGTGTATGTGCGTGTGTGCCCAAAATCCCAAAAGGAGGAAGAAGGGATTGTGGTGTGACCATTCCCTGAAGTGGGTGCTCTCTTGCTGTCTCCAATAAGCACATGTGCCCTCTAGCAGATTAAAAGTAAGTAAGTGGGGTTGACAAGTGGCACGGTGGTTGAGGTGCTGGACTCCCACATGGCCAACTACAGTACTAGTCCTGGACCTGCAGCTTGCTTTCTCACTTTCCCTCTCTCTCTGGTCAAATTTTAAAAATAACAATAATAATAAATGAAATTTAAAAAGTTAATAAGTAAATCAATAAATAAGGAAAAAGAAAGCAGATATAAATTCAAGAAAATTTGGTCAGAATTCCCTTCAAAGGATGTTGGCAATTCCACCCCCCTGGCTGACTATCCCATTTAGCAACAAAGTGTTAAGAGTAAAAAGAGGAGAACGTAATGGCTATGTCACTGGACTCCCATGTAGTCAACCACAATTCAAGTCCCGGACCCGGTGGCTTAAACTCATGCTGGGCGCGTTTGCGTGCGGGCACAAGATCCCGAGAGGAGAATGGAGAAGGGACTGCGGCATGGCCATCCCCCATGGGGGGGG